CTCAGCGGATTTGGGCTGTACTCAGCAAGCGCAGTACAGCCCCCAACTCAGATTTGAAAAACAATCAGTGGATGGTTGTTTTCTGACTGGTCGGCAGACCGCCGACAGGTCGGCCCTACTGGTTGGCTGCAATACGGTCGGCGGTCGGGGTCGGTGGTCGGCAGGGATGCAACCCTGGTGAGCGGCACGGTGAAGGGGGAGTTAAAAGAAGAATGACATATATGAATTGTTTCAGTGTGATCTTCTTCTTCTTCTTCCTTTTTTTTTCTTTTTTTTCCCTACACACACAGGCCCCTTCTAGGCTGGGTTGCAGCAGTCCGGCTACTTATCCCCGGCAAGCATATTTGTACCAAGACAGTGGGGGAGAAAAGAAGAGAGGAGGGGCGGTCATCCTAAACCTTGTGGCACTAGCCACCTGAGCAAGGGGGGGCTGCTTATGTGCACCCCACCTACAAACCTTTGCCCCTCCACAGTGGATTGCCGCACTGGCCGGGAGGCTTACTAGCAGCACCCAGACACACAGTAGGGTAATTCCCCGGGGGCCGGCGGGAGGGCCATAGTGCGGAGGGGGCGTTCAGGGCAGTCCCTGAGGCCGCTTGTCCACTCGTCAACTGATTTTTGTCAGTGTGATCTAAATGTTTGTCTTTTTTTTTTTTTTTTAAATAGTTTTTGCCATTTGTTTCACAAAGTGCGCTGATCTGGTTTGTAGGTATTTGACAATACTATGTATCGTCATAGAGAACTGCCAGATGAACCGTAGGCAGAGACGGAGAAGAGGACAACAAACGACAGACTGGTTTGTCAGAGTTTCACCGACTCCTCAGGAGGTTGAACCCTCACAGCCCCCAATTTTTTCCGTTGCTCCCTTTCTGCCTGCGGTTCATCGGGCAGTTCTTTAGGAGAATATATCATACTTGTGGTGCACCTCTTGCCCGTGTGAATGCAGCACACCCCAAGAAATATGGGGGCGCAAAAAGAGAATTGTGGGGGCAGGGTTGTGGTGGCATGCCATGCCCCTCCCTTGCAAAAATTAAAGTGCACTAGAAAGAAACAAATTTGAGGCCGCAAACGACAGCATCTACCCTGAATTTGTGCGTGTGAGAGTGACAATGTATACAAGCCATTTTTCAGGCCGACAGTGTCATAATCCGGGCGCGTTGTGTTCTGTGCAGCGGATATCTCTGACACCAGGCACCCTCACCATGACTGTATCGGGGACCTGAGAGGGGTAAACACCAGTTCACATCTAGAGGGGTTGGAAAAGGGTCCGTTACCTCACTCTCTCGCTCTCTCTCTCTTCTCCGAATGAAGACAACCTGCCTTCAGGTCGGACACAGTCATGATGAGGGTGTGTGGTGTTGTTAGATTAGGGAGCTTTCTTTTTCTTTTTTGTTTTCTTTGCCTTTTTGACACGCTGCTATCTGATCACCACGCACCATTTCTTTCAAATCTGTCTGAATTGGAAAGTTACAGTGCATGTATGGTCTCTGCGCAAGGTTGCCATGCATAAGGGCATACCCACATTCCTGGACGTATGTGGTCGGAATTCCACCTTGACACGGATGCATCTGACTGCAATCACGTCCAGAGATCAGTTGAAAGAAAAAAAGTCCTCGTGTGAGTATGCTCGAAATTGAGAAATTGTCCATCTTCTTCTTCATAAAAAAACGAAAAACATGATGCACCCTCATCATAACTTGTTTACATTTCTGGCAAACAACATCAAAGTTTCCACAACATGAGGGCACCTTGTGTCAATGAATATGGGCAAGCAACCTTTGAGGTCTGATACAGTCATGACGAGCGCCCAGTCATTACGCAGTGTCCTTGCATGTATACAACCTATCTTTCAGGTAGGATACCCCCTCTCCTTCTCTCTCACGCACATCGCTGCCCCCACACACGGACGAAGAAAATAAATAAAAAGACTCCGTTATGTGCACATACGACGGGAAATCGTGTGCAGCCCAGCGCACTGCACCTGCGTGCGTGGTGGACGCTCAGCACCCATCCGTGCAACACATAGGTGCACCCCAAGTATATCACTTACACAATATGACTGGTTAAGGGACTGTTGAGGGAGGGTTCAGCCTCCTGATGAGTGTTCGATGGAACAGTCTGTCACAACCCCTGCTACTTGTAATGAGAATAGGTTCACAATTAACGTCAATAGACACCTCTCTCCCTTGTCGGTCGCTTACAGTTGCTGTGTTTATAACTTTATATCATACATGTGGCACATCACGTGCACCGCACAGCTCATGCATACACGTGCGCGCGCACGCGATGCAGCACATTTACAAAATAATAAATGAAAAATAATCAGAAAGGGTAGGCCGTGGTACCCATAAGTGCCCTTCCCTTTGTAAGTGCACAGAAAGAGAATATTTTTGGGCCTCTTCGAACTACTCATTGGTAATATTCTCCTTTCCAAAGAGTCCCCTGCTGAGAATCAGCACGGATCCCATTCATTTGGAAGGGCGTTCATTGCACTGGTAGAAGAACACGAGCAGGCCAGCAATAGATTCTGGATTCGGATTCAGGTCTGTGTTCCAAGAGTTATGGGTTACGAACTTACTACAAAGTAGTACAAACACACAGTAGCTGTCTTTTTTTTTTGTTTTCCCTTTTCTTACATGCAGTGGCCCTAAGGGCCTCGCTCCACTCTGAGGACTTGCAGAAAAGAAAAACGTATGGCTTGTATGGTTCCTAGTTTTGCACATTTGGTGAGTACTGGAGTGAAGCCCTGAAAACCACATGCCGAGTTAGTAAGTCAGTAACCCATAACTGCTGAAACACGGACACCTGAATTCGAAGCTACACCAAATATAGCTGTCCTGCTCCCTCCTTACTGCAAGTCCAGTGACAACCCGTCCAGTGACCACCTTCTCCTGCCGACGGGACCCTTGCCAACTTTTCGCAGGGACCTTTTGAAGTACCGGCAGGGGTTGTCTGAATAATGTGGAAGGCCTCTGTGTCCTCTCTCTCTCTCTCTCTCTCTCTCTCTCTCTCTCTCTCTCTCTCTCTCTCTCTCCCCCCCCCCCCCCCCCCCCCCCCCCCCCCCTTTCTTCCCCTTTCCTGTTGTTTCTTCTTCTTCTTCTTCTTCTCTTTTTTTTTTTTTTTTAATTTTTACGTGCACACGCATCTGCGATTAGCGCACCGCGCAGCGCACTTCATCTACACACCGCAAGTATGGTTTATATGTAATGCTTTTCCCTGTCTTGCTTTAATTGTTAGTGTGCCTTTTCTTCATGCTTACGCCGGACCCGGACACTGGACCAGTCCAGACGTTCGGCCGGACCTGTGTCTGGACTGCTCCAGACCGTCGTGATTGAGAGGAAGTTAAAAAAAAAAACATTTTTAATAAAAAAACGATTTTATCTTTTTCCCTTGGATTTGGCTACTAATTTCGAGATGGTCCTCAGCCAAAATATTTTTGTATTGCAATGCTGCACAACATATCTCTTTGTCGGATTTTTTAAAATTCTTTTCAGTCGGATTTTTTTTGGGTGGACATGCTCTTCTTGTCTTGCTTTAATTCTTAATTTGTTATTTATGTCCTACAGTGTATGTGTGTGATGCTCTCCCTTTCGTGCATTTTCTTTTCTCGGCCTTTTCTGCTGTAATTTTCTGTATGTGTTCCAGGTTTTGTGGCTTTTGTCTTTTTTTAGCTGAGCCAACTTCTTCGGCTTTGCCTTTTCTTTTCCCAGGTTATGTTGATATCCCTTAAAGCTGGAGGCGTGGGAATCAATCTTACAGCAGCTTCAAATGCGTTCCTTCTGGTAAGGTCACATTGCGATTGTGTACATCTATTACATTCTATTAAAATTTAAAAGTTATTCCGATCGGGTGTAATGCTATTCCGCGACTCGTCCCGACAGAGTTCTGCCAATCTGCGAAATTGGACGTGCGATAAGCCATGTGCTTTCCGGCTTCTATCAAACGGCGTCCTGGAAACGGGACCGGAAAACTGGGCGATGCTAATCTCTAAGGGGCTGTGCTGGCACTGGCCAAATTATGACGTCGGAGAAATCTAAAATTGTTCTCAAACCCCTTAAGAGTTTGGTGTTTCCTCTCTATCTAAAATCTGCAATCCCTTTAGGGAAGGTCCTTTCTGTGTGAGGTGCTGGAGGAGTAGCCACCAGTTGTGCCCAGGCTGAATCTAGCTGCCTGGATGGCTTGGCTGGGCCCATGTTCTAGCAACGTCCAGGGCAGGCCAGCACAAAATTATTGTTATTTTTTAAAAGCCAACAGAAGATTTAAAAATCTGAAAGGAAGCCTATACTGCTGCCCCCGAGAATAGAAGGGGCCCTGGTGTTTTGGAAAAAAACAGAAGGAAGAAAAAACAGAATTGCAAAATCAACTTTTGGCTGGTTGCTTTGAAGTTCCTATTTTGAGACAGAAAATATTTATCATGGCACACCCCTGTAAACCCCGGGCATGTTTATGCCCTTGAGACCCCCTAAGGTATGCATCAGCAAATTCAGAGATATGGCCGGGCTTTAGCACACCTCAGTGAGGGCAGACATGCCCCATTATTACCCGCCCCCCC